GACAGGCCTATGAGTAGCGAGAGCCAAGGACGGGAGCCGACCAGAGTTCTAGGGAGGCAGGAGGGTAGAAAGAGGAGGGTGACAAACACAGGAACGCCAGACCGACTAGACTAGAAAAAAATAAAATAAAAAACTGATTCAGACAAACACAGCATGGACAGAGACGATCTAAGCTGCTGCACAACATATTACGGACTGACACAAGATAGCATTCAAGAGGGCCAGATAAAGGGAAGAATAATGAGGACAAAACGAGGTGCAGGTGAGAAGGGAGAATTAGCTAACAGGGATAACGAGAGGGGCGGGGTGAACACCAGGATGACAGCAGAGCACATGGCAAGCCGTCAAAACAAAAGGCCATGTGCTCCATGATAACAAAGCCCAAGTAGACCCCACCGAAATTGTGACACATACTTACAAAACAGGTCACAGAAGACTTCTCTGTGGTCTGTTCTGACTTAGCTATAAATCAATGCAAGGGGAGGCAGATTGTGTTGTATAAATACAAGTCAGTTTATTTATTACAATTAGTAAGTAAGCAGTACAAATATTCTACAACTACATATACATGTATTAAATAAAGTATAAATATAAAAAAATTCAATATTAGCAATGGTTCTGGTGCATGAGGTTCTTCAGGTGGTCCCGAAGCAGCATCTGATTTAATCATCACACTTCAGTCTTTTATAGACAGCACAGCAGGTGGATTCCAATACCTTGTGACGTCATGAGGTCTGGAAATTCCCTTATATAAAGCCTTACATTTTTCTTCTTCAGTATTCTTTGCTCTGCTGTCTTTTATGCTTCGTCTGAAACACACCAGCTGAGGTAATGCCCACCTTCTTTTTTCTTCAAAGCTCTTGCTAATACATGTGTCATCTCTAGCTGTGCTCTTGTTTATACATGTTATAAACATTTTCTTAATAAATGCTTAAAACAATAAGTGTGGTGTTTTACTTAATAAACCACTTTCTCAATAAAACAAATACAATAACATGTGTGGTGTCTTTCTTAATAAGTCACTTTCTTAATAAATCAAATACAATATAATGTGTGGTGTCTTTCTTAATAAATAAATTTCTTAATAAATCAAATACATTATCATGTGTGGTGTCTTTTTTAATAAACCACTTTCTTAATGAATCAAATACAATATAATGTGCGGTGTCTTTCTTAAACCACTTTCTTTTTTTTTTATGATCAACATTTTTACTCAGATTTAGTTTCACATCAGAAACATATATCACAATTCACAGCTCAAAAGAACTATGTACAATCAGACGCCATGAAGCCATCCACTTGTACCAAAGGAGCGGAAGAAAAATAAAAGAAATAAAAGTCAGAAAAGCATAGTAGGGATGTCAACATTTCAGCCTATCTAGCAACATCACAGCAATATTTGTCCAACTCCGAATAGTGTTGTCCTTTGAGCCGTTGAGCCTGGCAGTGGTACCTTCCAGCAAGACAATGTCTCTGAAGTATGATAGCCAAGTAAAAGTTGTCGGAGTGGATGGTTCTATCCATATCTACAGGTGCATCTCAATAAATTAGAATGTCATGGAAAAGTTCATTTATTTCAGTAATTCAACTCAAATTGTGAAACTTGTGTATTAAATAAATTCAATGCACACAGAACATAACAATAGAAAAAGCAGGGGATCTCGAGGTATATCCAATCCGAAAGAACAGAACATACAAATTTTCAAAAAAGAGCCAACACTGGGCATTCCCAAAACATATGCAAGTAAGAGCCAACTGTAGATTTATTACATAAATGACAGTAAGGATCAGATCTAGCTTATATCTTGTATAGTATACTGGGAGTGATATAGGCCCTATTGATACATTTATAATGTATCATCTGATGTGCAAGATTCTTAGAAGCAGTGAAACATCTGCTCCATTCCACGTCCCAATCAGGTTGAGCAAGACCTTCCCTTTCCCAGGAGTGGATAGCTGGAATATAAGTATATTGCAGTAAAAGGACTGAATTATAAATCTTAGAAACTAAACTGCTAGAAGGAGTATTAATGTCCAGAGGGTGTGGGAGCACATAGGTGGCCCTAGGAACTTCGTAGGCCTTTAAAGCTGATCTCAGTCTTAAATATAAAAAGAAAGAAAATCCAGGTAAAGAAAACTCTGCACTTAAGTCCTGAAACAATTTGAGGCCATTATCACAATAAATGTCATTCAATGTATGAACACCAGCATCAGACCAGGCTTTAAAAACAAAGGGTTTGTTAACAGTGCATAAACTATTATTATGCCATAACGGAGTTGTCTTATATAAAAGGGCCACCCATCATTTTCTCAACATTTTTCCATGCATCAAGTGAATATTCGATAATTGGTCCATAAGTTTTCAAGGATTTTGAAATACCTGAAAAGGGGAGATCTTGTAAGCGAACAGGATGAATAATATTCGCCTCCAGAACTTGCCATGGAACTGAAGAATCTGGATTAACCCAGGTTTTGATTGCCCTTATTTGAACAGCTAAATTGTATAATTCAAAATTAGGAAACGACAGACCTCCATCTAATTTCGTTCACTGCATCATCTTAAGTTGGATTCTGGGTTTTTTTCTTCATCCATATATATCTAGAAATAGCTGTATTAAACTCCTTAAAAAAACCTTCAGGCGGTGGAAAAGGCAACATGGAGAATAAAAAATTAACCCTGGGGAGCACATTCATTTTAATTGTAGATATTCTTCCGTGAAGAGCTAAACATAAGAGAGACCACCTGTCTAAGTCCTCTTTGATTTTATTCAGGAGAGTTTTATAATTACAATTAGAAATAAGATGTACTAAGGGAAATATAGTAACACCCAAATATGTGAACTGCTTGACTATGGGGATCAGGGGAGTTAAACCATTAGATTCTTGTCTAGCTGCCTCATTCAGCGGCATTAAAGCAGATTTATTCCAATTAATTTTGTAACCTGAAAGACTGCCAAATATGTTGAAAAGATTTAAGCACTCAGGGACGGACACAGAAATATTGGAAACATAGAGCAGAATATCGTCAGCATAGAGAGAGATTTTATTTGAGGTATTTACGCAGATAATGGGTTGTATAGTGTAATGTGGCGAACGAGACGAGAGGCATGCAGATCCATATGCAAGCTTTTATTCACAGACATGGTCAAAACACAGGCAAGGTCGAACACCAGCAAACAGGTATGGTACGGGCAAGACACACGAGTAGTCCAGTAAACAGATGGGGGTCGATCGGCGGCGAACGTGATCCACGGGGCAAGGCAAACGGGTAATCCAATAGATAGGCGATAATACCAGGGCAGGCAGAGATCAGAGAATACGAGGTTAAAACAGGAAACAAACAGGACTAACTGGAACTAAACTCTGGAAACACGGAATGGCTCCGTAAAGTTGCTATCACTAGGAGAGTAATGAACGCAGACAATATGCGGCGATCTGAAAGAGGAAGTCCAAGGCTTATAAAGTGTGTTTGATTGGTTGCAGCTGTGTGTGTGTAATCAATGCAATGGATGATGGGAACTGTAGTCCGAAGTGACATGTAACAGTCTGTGTAGTGTGAGAGTCAATGTAATGGAAGAGTGACCTCTGGTGGCAAGCAGACGGAAAGCCACAAACCGGATTCGTGACATATAGTTAAAGTTTGCCATACTGCTTGTGCCAGTGGTTCCACTGATAAAGTAAAGAGCAAGGGTGATAACGGGCAACCTTGGCGGGTGCCCCGGCCAAGGGCAAAAGAGGAAGATGCTAAAGAGCCTGTAAGAACCTGTGCTGAACAGCAATTGTAAAGTGTTTTAACCATTTTGATAAATCCCTGTCCAGCCCCTACATGATCAAGAACTGCCCAAAGAAAACTCCACTCAATCCTATCAAAGGCCTTCTCCGCGTCCAATGAAATGACCGCGGAGGAGGCCGAATAGGAACTGGACCTGTGAATAATATGTAGAAGTCGCTTGATGTTATCGGAAGCAAATTGATCTTTGAGAAAACCGGACTGGTCATAGTTTATGACTTTATCTATACAGTTATTTAGTCTATTTAGTCTAACGTTTTAGCGAAGAGTTTCGCATCTGTAGTTATTAAACTAATAGGTCGATAACTGGCACATTCTAAGGGATCTTTGCCCTTCTTGAGTAAAAGGGTTATGAGAGCTGTGTTTTGATCCCTGTGAAGGGTTCCATTTTCGATCGTGAAATTAAAAGAGTTAAGAATAAGTGAAAAAACTATATCCCAGATTGCGGAAATTAATTCAGGGAGAATTCTGTCACTACCCGGAGCTTTGTTCTTTGGCATGGAGTCTAGAGCCAGTTTCAGTTTGTCTAGTGACAGTGGGCCATTTAGCATCTCTAAGTCATGTTCATCAAATTTGGGGAGGGGAAACTGCAGAAGAAAATATATATTTTGTTGATAACTAGAGGAAGAATAAGAAGTATATAGTTGTTCATAATAAGAATATCTGTAGTAAAGATCTGATTTATATCTTATTTTTGAGTATGAAAGATGCCATCCTTCTTTATAGCGTATATATTTGCATAATAAATTGAGCTCTGTGTAAGAGCAGCTCTTTTAACTCTGATTTAAGTGCACTTAATTATTTTTCTTTTCGTTGACAATAAGTATTTTTAAGGTCCTGTTCCATCGCCTGGACTTGTCTCTCTAGCTCAATTCTACGGCTATTCCTAGACCTCTGACGAAAAGATGAAAGCAATGCATTTCCCTCTGATAAAACATTTTGTTACCTCCCATAATACTTGAGGGTTATTTGTTAAACCACTATTCAGTTGAATAAACTCCACTAAGGAGGTGCGCAATTGTGATAAAAAAATTTTGGTCATAAAGGAGAGGTGTTAAACCTCCAACATTTACTTCCAGAGGAAACAGAAAATGGGAGAAGACACAATGCGATTGGGGAGTGGTCTGAGAGAAGAAGGGGTACTATATCAACTTTTTCAATAAATGGAATGAGAGCTGGCGATATGAGCAGATAATCGATGCGAGAGTAGGTTCTTTCAGGACCACTATCGTTAAAGATGATTGAAAATTAGCATACAGTTTGGATTGGCGGTATGGTTCTATTCTGGGCAAGAACTCCCTGCGCATCCATGCAGCCTTTGATTTCTGTCAGGACCACTATCGTCAGAGCAGCGATAACCCCCCAAAACAAAACCATATTCTGATATCCCCCAACACAAATTGATAGCAAATCTCAACAGCAACAATCATGTTGCCTTTAACGGATTACCTAATGAGTATATTGTCAATACCTTAAAAGCTTAAGCAACATGTTCTCAATAACACCAGATAGGCTTAAGAAAAACATGTTTCCGATTCAACTACAGCTTTAAGAACAAGCATGTTTCCAATAAGACTAGACAGAACAAGCGTGTCTGGTACCGTAGTAGAATCAACGCTGAACTGACGGCTGCATCCGAAACTGGAAAACGCTGCCTTTGGAAGACACATTTCAAGGTAGGAAGGCATCAAGACATGTCGAGTCCAATGTTAGCTTCACTTCCTGCCTCCTGAGATACCTTCATCTGGTCGATATTTAAAGGCAGAATAGATGCATCCTTCGCTGCCTTGATACCCACAATCCCGTGTGTCCTATCTCGTGATGGTTGAGCAAAATAAAGATGGCATCTGAAGTTATTTTTAGCGAGAAATCAGTATTATTAAGTAATTAAATATTAGCTTAGTTATCACCGAAGCTCGTTCTATTTTGTTGTAGATCATTGAACGTTAAGCTGCCTCAGAAGCATGTCCAATATCAGTTTCATGAGTTACCTTCATGAACAAACGCTGCCTGCGAAGTCATTGGCTGATAGGCAGCATGTCAGCAGCCTAGGTTTTCGGATGCAGACGACTTCAACTGAACAACGACCATTTACCATTTTCTCCTGGAGCTGCGAAGCAACAGAATTGATTCCATTTGCACCATGGTCGTTATTTTCTGCTGCTTAAATCTGTGCTGTAGTGCTATAAAATAAAGGTGACTTGACTATGTTAAAGGGGACATAACGCACAAAGTTTTGGCCAATCTCATGTTAATCTTGAGTACCTATAG